GAGAAAGGATGGGAGTGTAGGGAAGCTGGCAATTAAGTAGGGAAGGAAGGAAGGAAGAAGAGAAGGAAGATTGGCAGGAAGGAAAGGAAGGAAGGAAGGAAGGAAGAAAAATGAGGGAGGGGAGAAGGAAGGAAGGAAGAAATTAAGGGAGGAAGAAAGAAGGAGGGGAAAATGGAAGGGAGGGAAGGAAGGAAAGGAAGGAAGAGAGGAAGGAAGGAAGGAGGAAGGAAAAAAGGAAAGGAAGGAAGGAAGGAAGGAAGAAGGAAGGAAGGATGGAAGGAAAAAGGAAGGAGGAAGGGAAGGAAGAAGAGGAAGGAAGGAAGGAAGGAAGGAAGGAAAAAGGAAGTTAGGAAGGAAAGGAAGGAAGGAAAGGAAGGAAAGGGAAGGAAGGAAGGAAGGAAGGAAGGAAGGAAGGAAAGGAAGGAAAGGAAGGAAGGAAGGAAGGAAGGAAGGAAGGAAGGAAGGAAGGAAGGAAGGAAGGAAGGAAGGAAGGAAGGAAGGAAAAAAGGAAGGAAGGAAGGAAGAAAGGAAGGGAATAAAGGAATAGAGGGCAGTGAAGGGAAGCTGGCAAGTATGTAAAGAAGTAAGGATAAAGAAAGGAAGGAAGAATGGAAGGAAGGAAGGAAGGAGGGAAGGAAGGAAGGAAGGAAGGAAATATGAAGGAAGGAATGAAGGAGGTGAGAAAGGAATTAAGGAAGAATGGAAGGAAGGAAGGAATTAAGGAAGGATAGAAGGAAAGGAAGGGAAGGAAGAAAGGGAAAGGATGGGAGTGTAGGGAAGCTGGCAATTAAGTAGGGAAGGAAGGAGGAAAGGAAGGAAGAATGACAGGAAGGAAGGAAAAAAAGAGGGAGGGGAGAAGGAAGGAAGAAAAGAAGGAAGGAAGGAAGGAAGGAAGGAAGGAAAAAAAAAGAAAGGAAGGAAGAAAGGAAGGAAGGAAGGAAGGAAGGAAGGAAGGAAGAAGAATGGAATAAAGGAATGGAATGGAGGCGAATGAAGGGAAGGGAAGCTGGCAAGTTAGTAAAGAAGTAAGGAATAAAGAAAAGAAGGAAAGGAAGGAAGGAAGGAAGGAAGGAAGGAAGGAAGGAAAAAAGGAAGGAAGGAAGGAATAAGGGAAGAAAGAAAGGAAAAAGAAAGGAAGGAAGGAAGGAAGGAAGGAAGGAAGGAAGGAAGGAAGGAATGGAAAGGAGGGGAGTGAAGGAAGCTGGCAAGTAAAAGAAGTAAGGAAGGGAAGGGAAGGAAGGAAGGAAGGAAGGAAGGAAGGAAGGAAAGGAAGGAAAGGAAACCTGGCAAGTAGGTAGGAAGGAAGGAAGGAAGGAAGGAAGGAAGGAAGGAAAGAAGGAAGGAGGGAGGAAGGAAGGAAGGAAGGAATGAGGGAGGGGAGAAAGGAAGGAAGGAAGGAAGAAGGAAAGAAGGAAGGAAGGAGAAGAAGGAAGGAAGGAAGGAAAAGGAAGGAAGGAAGGAAGAATAAAGGAATGGAAAGGAGGGGAGTGAAGGGAAGCTGGCAAGTAAGTAAAGATTTAATGAAGAAAGGAAGGAAAGAAAAAAAGGAAGGAAGGAAAAAAAAGAAGGAAGGAAGGAAGGAAAAAAAAAGGAAAAAAAGGAAGGATGGAAGGAAAGAAGAAAAGTAAAGAAGGAAAAAAAGGAAAGAAGGAAGGAAGGAAGGAAGGAAGGAAGGAAGGAAGGAAGGAAGAGGGAGGTGAGGAAGGAAGGAATGAATGAGGGAGGGGAGAAAGGAAGGAAGGTATGAAGAAAGGAAAGAAGGAAGGAAGGAAAAAGAAGGAAGGAAAAAAGGAAAGGAAGGGAAAAAAGGAATGGAAAGGAGGGGAGTGAAGGGAAGCTGGCAAGTAAGTAAAGATTTAATGAAGAAAGGAAGGAAAGAAAAAAGGAAGGAAGGAAGGAAAAAAGAAGGAAAAGAAGGAAGGAAGTAAAGAAGGAAAAAAGGAAGGAAGGAAGGAAAGAAGAAAAGTAAAGAAGGAAAAAGGAAGGAAGGAAGGAAGGAAGGAAGGAAGGAAGGAAGGAAGGAGGGAATGAGGGAGGTGAGGAAGGAAGGAATGAATGAGGGAGGGGAGAAAGGAAGGAAGGTATGAAGAAAGGAAAGAAGGAAGGAAGGAAGGAAAGTAAAGAAAGAAAAGGAAGTAAGGGGGAATAAAGGAATGGAAAGGAGGGGAGTGAAGTTAAGCTGTCAAGTAAGTAAAGAATTAAGGAAGGAAGAAAGGAAGGAGGGAAGGAAGGAAAGGAAGGAAGGAAGGAAGGAAGGAAGGAAGGAAGGAGGAAGGGAAGGAAGGAAGGAAGGAAGGAAGGAAGAAGGAAGGAAGGAAAGAAGGAAAAAAGGAATGATGGATCTAAAGAAGAAAAGAAAGGGAAGGGAAAGAAGGAAAAAAGGAAGGAAGCAAGGAAAGAAGGAAAGGAAGGAAGAAAAAAAGGAAGGAAGGAAGAAAGAAAGAAAGAAAGGAAGGAAGGTAAAAAGGAAGGAAGGAAGGGAATAAAGGAATGGAAAGGAGGGGAGTGAAGGGAAGCTGGCAAGTAAGTAAAGAAGGAAGGAAGGGAAGGAGGAAGGAAAAAAGGAAGGAAAAAAGGAAGGAAGGAAGGAAAAAAGGAAGGAAGGAAGGAAGGAAAGGAGTGGAGGAAAGGAAGGAAGGAATGAGGGAGGGAAAAAAAAAAATAGAAGGGTAAAGATGGAAAGGAAGGTAGGGATGAAGAAAGAATAGAAGGAAATCGTGATGGAGAGGGGGGGGAAGGAAGGAAAAGAAGAGAGGAAAGATTGTAGGGATGGAAGTGAAGGAAAGGAAGAAAAACTTTTTAATGTATTGATCTTTAGTGTAGAGATCTTCGTTCTTGTCCCCACCCAAAATAAGAGCCGTCTGCAAACTGAAATTTCCAACCGAAAGCTTTCAGTAGATCAATTCAATTATTTTAACACCAGTGTTCAATCAAAATAAATCCAATCTGAAATCATTGGCACAGCAAGTAAGTCAATTCCAAATGAGCCATGTCATATTCTTTAAACAGCACTGCAAGTGTCAAGCTTGAAAGTGTCAAGATCATTTATCTTCCTTTCTTAAATCCATTACTCTCTCCTCTGCCAAAGCCAGTTTACCTCATTTCCTACACTATCTGCTTTTTTTTTTTTATTTTTCAGCATTTTCTTGCCACCGCTTTGTAAGAAAAACCGCTTCGGCTGTGCTGTGATTTTCCTTGTTTTAGAATCGGCTGTTTTTGTGCTCTGCTCAGATGGAATTTCTTCTCCAGCCTAGCGAGACCAGAACAAGGGATTGTACTCACAACTGAGTGGCATTGGTCTTTTTCATAGACTCTGGAGCTTTGTCTGAATTTGCTATAATGTGTTTAAGCATTCTACTTTATGTGATGCAGGTTAAGCTGTTCCAAAGCCCGCTCATGATCGGTAGAGCATCTTCATCTATCAATCTTTGTGGGACTCGTCCTAAATCACCATGCGCTTCTTGATTCCAAAGTGTGGGAAGACACAAGGGTCTTCCTAGAAAGAGGTGGAGATCACACATAAGGTGTTTCAGCAAACATCTAGCATCCCTTTCAGCAAGGTGTTTGATGGACACAAACATGACAACAAATCAGAAGGCTTCACAATGCCGCGCAATAGATGTTGAAGCAAAGCATTTTTATTTTCTTCCCTCGCATGAAAAAAAAAATGCCAGATTTAACTGATTCACTTAGCTTTGTATCAATCAACATTAGCACAGGTTCGGATTAGCACAGGTTTGGAAGTAGGACGTGCACGGAATTCATCTCATTCTAGCAGTTTGTCATCTTGGAATTCAGAACTTCAGATTCCTGTCGTACATCAGAATTTTAAGGTAGTGCAGGTAACTGATCTTCTATCTTGTCCCCACCCAAAATAAGTGCAGTTTGCACATTTTCCAACCGAAAGTAATATTAATTCAAATATTTTAACCCATGCTCCCAGAACACCAGTGTTCGTTGCTCACTGGTTCAATCATAATAAATCCAATCTGCAATCATTGGCACAGCAAGTAAGTCAATTCCAAATGAGCCATGTCATGATCTCTAAACAACACTGGAAGATTTCAAGCTTGAAAGTGTCAAGATCATTCATCTTTCCTTTTCTTAAATCCATTACACTCTCCTCTGCCAAAGGCAGTTTTACCCATTTTCTACACTATCTGCTTTATTTTATTTTTCAGCATTTTCTTTCCGCTTTGAAAAAAAAAAACCCGCTTCGGCTGTGCTGTGATTTTCTGTGTTTGAGAATCTGCTGTTTTCGTACTCTGCTCAGAGTGGAATTTCTTCTTCAGCATGACGAGACCACAACAAGGGATGTACTCGCAACTGTAATTGCGATGCAGGTTCTGCTGTTCTAAAGCCCGCTCATGATCTGTGATCGATAGAGCATCTTCATCTATCAATCTTTGTTGGACTCCATCACCATGCTCTTCATGATTCGAAAGTGTGGGAAGACACAAGGGTCTTCCTAGAAAGAGGTGGAGATCATACACATAAGGTGTTTCATCATGAGCTACCATATCTAGCAACCCTTTCAGCACGGTGTTTGGTGGACACAAATATGCTTCACAATGCCGCGCAATAGATGTAGAAGCAAAACAGTTTTACTTTTGCCCTCACATGAAAACATGCAAGTTTTAACTGATTCATTTAGCTTTGTATCAACATCCAGACGGATTCGCACATGTTAAGTAAGATCTACACGTTCAAATTCTAACAGCATCTTGGAAAGAGTGGCTGAGAAAACCAAGGTTAGGCTTTTTTCTGGAATGTGGGCTAGGATCTCCTGCAGCTGCTCAGCAAAAGTGTTTCTGCTTCATCAAAAATTACACACTGCGTAACTTCAGATTAAGGGCCGTGCATCAGACGGCCATGTGTAATAATGATTATATAAGCATTTTCATTTAGTGCAAGAATCTTGCACCTTGTCCTCGCCTAAAATAAGAGCAGTCTGCAAACCAGTAAGCTGCTCACTGGTTCAATCCACTCCAATCTGCTCCATCAGATTAGACTGTAGACTGTAAGCGGCAGAAGGCTAAGAGTAGCTAAAGTGTAGCATCTTTTTTTGGAGAATGAAAGTGTAAAGGAAAAATGACAAAAGTCTTTGCACAGAAAATAGAAATTCCTGACTTCCTTCCGCCCTTTTTCTTTCCTTCGTTCCATCCTTCTTTCATTCTCCTTTACTTCACACAAGACACCTAGAAAGAGGTGAGATCACACATAAGATGTTTCAGTGTGAGCCACCATATCTAGCATCCCTTTCAACAAGGTGTTTGGTGGACAAAAAAAATGACAACAAATCTGAAGGCTTCACAATGCCGCGCAAAGATGTAGAAGCAAAGCAGTTTTTTTTTCTTCCCTCGCATGAAAAAAAAAAAAACAGATTTAACTGATTCACTTAGCTTTGTATCAACATCTAGACGGATTAGCACAGGTTCAGTAAGACGTGCACCTTCACTTTTCTAGCAGCATCTTGGAAAGAGTGGCTGAGAAAACCAAAGGTAAGCTATTTTCTGAAATGCAGGCTAGGATCTCATGCAGCTGCTTAACAAACGTTTGTCTGCTTCATCATAAACGACATACTCCACACTGCGTAACTTCAGATTTCTGCCGTGCATCAGAATTTTAAGGTAGTGCAGGTAACTGATCTTCTATATCTTGTCCCCACGAAAAATAAGTGCAGTTTGCAAATTTTCCAAACGAAAGTAATATTAATTCAAATATTTTAACCAATGCTTCCAGAACACCAGTGTTCTTTGCTCACTGGTTCAATCATAATAAATCCAATCTGCAATCAAAGGCACAGCAAGTAAGTCAAATCCAAATGAGCCATGTCATGATCTATAAACAAACACTGGAAGTGTCAAGCTTGAAAGTATCAAGATCATTCATCTTTCCTTTTCTTATTTCCATTACACTCTCCTCTGCCAAAGACTGTTTACCTCATTTCCAGCACTATCTGCTTTATTTTATTTTTCAGCATTTTTTTCCCGCTTTGAAAAAAAAAAACGCTTCGGCTGTGCTTTGATTTTCTGTGTTTGAGAATCTGCTGTTTTCGTTCTCTGCTCAGAGTGGTATTTCTTCTCCAGCATGGCGAGATAAGAACAAGGGATGTACTCGCAACTGTAATTGCGATGCTGGTTCTGCTGTTCTAAAGCACGCTCACGATCCGTGATCCATACAGCATCTTCATCTATCAATCTTTGTGGGACTCGTCCTAAATCACCATGCACTTCTTGATTCCAAAGTGTGCGAAGACACAAGGGTCTTCCTAGAAAGAGGTGGAGATCACACATAAGGTGTTTCAGTGTGAGCCACCATATCTAGCATCCCTTTCAACAAGGTGTTTGGTGGACACAAAAATGACACAACAAATCTGAAGGCTTCACAATGCCGCGCAACAGATGTAGAAGCAAAGCAGTTTTATTTTCTTCCCTCGCATGAAAAAATGCCAGATTTAACTGATTCACTTAGCTTTGTATCAACATCTAGACAGATTAGCACAGGTTAAGTAAGACGTGCACGTTCACTTTCTAGCAGCATCTTTGAAAGATTGGCTGAGAAAACCAAGGGTAGGCTTTTATCTGTAATGCGGGCTAGGATCTCATGCATCAGCACTGCAAACGTTTGTCTGCTTCATCATAAACGACATACTCCACACTGCGTAACTTCAGATTCCTGTCGTGCATTAGAATTTTAAGTTAGTGCAGGTAACTGATCTTCTATCTTTTCCCCACCCAAAATAAGCAAATTTTCCAACCGAAAGTAATATTAATTCAAATATTTTAACCCATGCTCCCAGAACACCAGTGTTCGTTGCTCTCTGGTTCAATCATAATAAATCCAATCTGCAATCATTGGCACAGCAAGTAAATCAATTCCAAATGAGCCATGTCATGATCTCTAACCAACACTGTAAGTGTCAAGCTTGAAAGTGTCAAGATCATTCATCTTTCCTTTTCTTAAATCCATTACACTCTCCTTTGCCAAAGGCAGTTTACCATTTTCCTGCACTATCTGCTTTATTTTATTTTTCAGCATTTACTTTCCCGCTTTGAAAAAAAAAAACCGCTTCAAGCTGTGCTGTGATTTTCTGTGTTTGAGAATCTGCAGTTTTCGTTCGTACTCTGCTCAGAGTGGAATTTCTTTTCCAGCATGGCGAGACCATAACAAGTGATGTACGCGCAAATGTAATTGCGATGCAGGTTCTGCTGTTCTAAAGTACGCTCATGATCCGTGATCGATACAGCATCTTTATCTATCAATGTTTGTGGGACTCGTCCTAAATCACCATGCGCTTCTTGATTCCAAAGTGTGGGAAGACACAAGGGTCTTCCTAGAAAGAGGTGGAGATCATACACATAAGGTGTTTCAGCATGATCTACCATATCAAGCATTCCATTCAGCAAGGTGTTTTGTGGACACAAAAATGAATACAAATCAAAACGCTTCACAATGTCGCACAATAGATGTAGAAGCAAAGCAAAGCAGTTTTATTTTCCTCCCTCACATGAAAAAATGCCAGATTTAACTGATTTACTTCGCTTTGTATTACCATCTGGAGGGATTAGCACAGGTTCAGTAAGACGTTGCACGTTCACTTTCTAGTAGCATTCTGGTATGATTGGCTGAGAAAACCAAGGGTAGGCTATTTTCTAGAATGTGGGCTAGGATCTCATGCAGCTGCTCAGCAAAAACGTTTGTCTGCTTCATCATAAATGACATAATCCACACTGCGTAACTTCAGATTCCTGTCGTGCATCATAATTTTAAGGTAGTGCAGGTAACTGATCTTCTATCTTGTCCCCACCCAAAATAAGTGCAGTTTGCAAATTTTCTAACCGAAAGTAATGTTAATTTTAATATTTTAACCCATGCACCCAGAACACCAGTGTTCGTTGCTCACTGGTTCCAATCTGCAATCATTGGCACAGCAAGTAAATCAATTCCAAATGAGCCATGTCATGATCTCTAACCAACACTGGAAGTGTCAAGCTTGAAAGTGTCAAGATCATTCATCTTTTCCTTTTCTTAAATCCATTACACTCTCCTCTGCCAAAGGCAGTTTACCTCATTTCCTGCACTATCTGCTTTATTTTATTTTTCAGCATTTTATTTCCCGCTTTGAAAAAAAAAAAACTGCTTCGGCTGTGCTGTTATTTTCTGTGTTTGAGAATCTGCTATTTTCGTGCTCTGCCCATAGTGGAATTTCTTCTCCAGCATGGCGAGACCAGAACAAAAGATGTACTCGCTAATGTAATTGCGATGCAGGTTCTGCTGTTCTTTAGCCCGCTCATGATCTGTGATCGATAGAGCATCTTCATCTATCAATGTTTGTTGGACTCCATCACCATGCGCTTCATGATTCGAAAGTGTGGGAAGACACAAGGTCTTGATAGAAAGAGGTGGAGATCATACACATAAGGTGTTTCATCATGAGCATCTAATATCTAGCATCTCTTTCAGCACGGTGTTTGGTGGACACAAACATGCTTCACAATGCCTCGCAATAGATGTAGAAGCAAAACAGATTTACTTTTTTTCCTCACATGAAAACATGCAAGCTTTTACTGATTCATTTAATCCAGACGGATTCGCACATGTTCAGTAAGATCTACACGTTCAAATTCTAGCAGCATCTTGTAAAGAGTGGCTTAGAAAACCAAGGTTAGGCTATTTTCTGGAATGTGGGCAAGGATCTCCTGCAGCTGCTCAGCAAAAGTTTTTCTGCTTCATCAAAAATCGACATACTCCACACTGCGAAATTTCAGATTAAGGGCCATGCATCAGACGGCCATGTGTAATAATTATTATATAAGCCTTTTCATTTAGTGCAAGAACCTGATCTTGCACCTTGTCCTCGCCCAAAAAAAGAGCAGTCTGCAAACCAGTAAAATGCTCACTGGTTCAATCCATTCCAATCTGCTCCATCATATTAGACTGTCGACTTCGTGAGCGGCAGTAGGCTAAGAGTAGCTAAAGTGTAGCAGCTGTTTTTGGAATGAAAGTGTAAATGAAAAATGACAAAAGTCTTTGCACAGAAAATAGAAATTCCTGACTTCCTTCCGCCCTTTTTCTTTCCTTCGTTGCATCCTTCTTTCCTTCTCCTTACTTCATTTACTCTCTTCCTTCCTTCCTTTCCATTCCCTTCCATTCCCTTTCCTACATTTCCCCTACCTTCTTTTCCTTCCTTCGCTCCCTAAATATCTATCCTCCTTCCTTACTCCCACCTTTTCCTTCCTTCCTTCCTTCCTTCCTTCCTTCCTTCCTTCCTTCCTTCATTCCTTCTTGATTCGAAAGTGCGGGAAGACACAAGTGTCTTCCTTCCTTCTTTCCTTCATCCCTTCCCTCCTACCTTCTCTTCCCCTCTTTTCATTCTGCTCCCCTTCTCCTTTCCATCCTGCCCTCCCTTTCCTCCTTCCTTACAACTCTTCCCCTCCTTCCTTCCTCCCTTCTCTCTTTCGATTTTTTACTCTCTTCCTTTCTTCTTCTTCTTCCCTCCTTAAGGAAGAAAGGCTTTGATTCCCTCCTTCGTTCATCCCTCCCCTCCTCTCCTTCATTCCTTCCATTCTTTCCTTTTTTTCCTTCTTTCCTTCCTTATTACCTTCTCTCCCTCCTTCCCTTTCTTCCTTCTTTAATTTTCTAAATTTTCTATCCTATTCTATCTTTCTTTCTTTCTTTCTTTTCCTTTTCCTTCCTTCCTTCCTTCCTTTTCCTTTTTTTCCTTCCTTTCTTTCCTCCTTCCTTCCTTTCTTCACATCTTCTC